GAGGAGGACAGGCTCAGCTACACACCGGGTGGCAGAGCCCCATGAGTGCCCTTTCCACACCTGGCCACAGCATTCGTCAGGAGGGAGAGCCCATCGGCAGCCGCGCACAGAGGTGATGCTTCCCCGCATTGCGTGCGCTCTGGGAAATTGCAACAACTCTGCTCTGAGAAGGGCTGCTCCTCGGAGGTCTGACACAGGTGAAGCCCCTGGATTTGTAGGAAGCTGCTGTGTGCATCCAAGCGGATGCCGCAGTGCTGTGGTGGTGCCGTCAGCTAGCCTGCAGCGGCCTGGCCAGCTCATATGCACAGCCACCCCGGGAAAAGCAGATGGAGGAATAAAGGGAAACTTTCCGCTCCAGTGCCCCCAAAAAGACATTATAATTTTCCTTCCCTGTGTCATCCTGCTTGCCTGGTTGTGTGGCATGAAATTAGGGCTCTGGTTCGGTTACGGTTCATTACAGGCTTGCATGTGGCTTTGTTGCAGCTTGTTCAGAAGCACCAAAGGAGCCAAGCCAGTGTGAAAGTCGAGGTTTTAGGCACAGCTGGGTGGCTAGGAGCTGAGCCTTGCCTGTGGCTGGTGACTTCAGCAAGGCTCAGACATGGTCCCCATGGACCTGGCATTACTACCTGGAGGGCATCAGTCAGGGACCCTCCCTGACCCTACCAGTGGGGAGAACAAAGGGCTTGGGATGGAGGTAGGTCAATGGGAGATGGCTTCAGGATCTCCTTTTCACAGCTGAACAAAGCAGTTGCCTCTTTAGCCTGTCCCAAGGACCTGTGTATGGTGCTGTGTGCGATGCAGGGTGCCAAAGGGAGTGTTTTGAATGCCGTCAGACAGCAAAGCAGCTTTTCTGCAGCAATAGCTAAGTCCTGAAATACCCCGAGCAGCTGTGTTTATTCCAAAGCTCTCACTCAGAGAGATGCTTGGTTGTGACGTGGGCCATTAGTACAAACATTGCTCCCAGTGCCCGGACCAGAGCCACGAAGGGCGTTGCTCACTTAGCGGCATTAATACAAACCAGCACCGTCCCAGCATGCAATCAATGGACTCGGTAATAAAAACAACCCTGGCTCGTCCCAGCACTTGGGCAAGGAGCAGTGCTGCCTTCTTGGGAGCAGAGGGGTTTCCAAATGTCTCCGTTCCCCTCCCTGGGCTGCTTTCACCCCAGCCGTGCTTTCCAGCAGCTGAGAAACCTCTGCTCTGTCACAGTTGTGCTGGGCTGGGAAAAGGGAGCAGCCCAGGGATCCCCTAGGGACTTCTTTCCCAGCAGTCATCACCTTCAGCGATGCCCATGTCCGCTAGAGAAACGTAGTGAGATCCCTGCAGCCCTGCAACTTTCTCTGTGTTGTGCCCTGGCATTTCTTTCCAACGCTGAAGGAAAGGTGTGTGTTTGTAATTGCTGCACCCGGGGCCATTAGAGGAGCTGCCTCCAAGCCCGGTTGGTGATGTTCCCCCTTGCTGTGCCACTGTGTTGGGGACCCGCTGCCACCTCTCCCGAGCCTGCCTGTCAGACTGGGTACCAGCCCTCCCGCTCACCCGTGCTTGGCATCTGCTTTCTGGGGTGCCCAAAGCCACGCTGGACACAGAGGAGCTTCCCAGCCCTGGAGCAGGGCCCCCCCCCTCCTCCCCCCGGCAAATCCAGAGGCAAGGCGAGAGCTGGCAGGCTGACAAAGGGGAAGGCAGCATTGAGCGACGGGATGCAGCAGCTGGGTGGATGCTGTTCTGGAGGAACCCTGCGGGGTAGATGCTCAGCTGCGGGAGGGCTTGGTGGGCTGAACGCAGGTTGGAAAATTCCTCCGCTGCGGCTGTGTGCGCTGTGATATGTATCTGGAGAGCCCAAAACCAGTTATCACTTTCCCAAAGCCCCTGAGCTCTGATGAGAGCAATGCACTGATGCTGCAGCCCACAGCCCTCTGCCCGAATCATTGGGTGGCACTGTACCCTTAGCAGGGACATTGTTTCCCACCAGGCCTGGAAGCTCCTGCTGCTCCCAAGCAAGCGACGACTGAACCACACAGGCTTATTTCCCTCGTGCTACGTGATTTCTCCCAAGATGCTGGCAGTTTGCTCTAGCACCTGGGGAGTGAGCCCCTGGGAGGTTTGGGACGGGTGCTGGGGGGGCTGTGGGAAGGGCTCATCCTCACTGCCCATGCTGGGGCATGTGTCAGGCTTGGCACAGCAGCATGCAATGAGGCACAGGGACAGGCCATGCAATGGGAGGTTTGGGGAGTGCCCAGGGGCAAGAAAGCCTCAGTGACAAGCTAATGGCCCACCACTTATCCCCCCAGGTTAGGGGCTCTCAGCACCCACCTGCCCTCCTGGGGAAAAACATTTGGGTGCAAAAGGGCCAATTCCGGCTTCTGTGGCTGCCTCTCTCCAGGAGCACCGGCATGGAATGGGTATGGTGGGACCATTTAGGGGAGGTTTGGACATTTGCATCGCTGTGACTGCCCTGGGAGTCATGCATGCCTGGCACCTCCCTGGGGTCTGGGGGGAAAAGCTGGGGGGATTAGAGGGCAGTCCTGTCCCATAGGGCTGAGAAGAGCTGCGAGGAGAGAGGCAAAAGAGGGTTTGTGTCACTGTGGATCAACAGATCCACTTCCATCCCCACCCAAACCCTTCCTTACTGCCCTTCCCCAACCCATGGGGGCTTTTACACATTTCATGGGACCTTGGGCTTGAAATATGGGGACAGGCAGGTGCGTCCCCCTGTAGATCAGCCCCTGGCGAGGGCTGCGAGCTGGGACACAGCAGCCCAGCATCTCTCCCTGCGCTGAACCTCTCCCGATCCCCGCAGTCCTCCCTGCTCACAGCTCTGCCCCACTTGCTGTCTTTGCAGGAGAAGAAAGGCCAGGAGGTTAAGAAGGGCCCCGAGGTGGAAATTGCAAAGCTGGACAAGCTGCTTAACCTGGTGAGAGAGCCAGAGAGCAAGGCAGGGAAGTGAGCGGGGGGGAATGATGGCTCTGCCAGGGGCCGCCGGCCAAACAAGCCCAGCTTTGATCGGTGGCTGCTTGGCACGCAAGCCGCGTGCCCCGTGCTGCCTGCTCTTTCCATAGCAGGAGCACTTTGTCTCCATGCCCGGACAAATAAACAGAGGTGCTGGGAGAGTCGCAGCGTACAGTCATCTCTGGGGTCAGGCAGACCTCACAGTGCTCGGTCCCCCAGAGCCGCACAGCCCTCAGCTCTTCCCCACCCTTGGCCAGGCTTGCACCGGGTGAGAGCCCCATGGAGGGCAGGTGAGGGCTGGTCCCACCAGCCTTAGGGAAACCTCAGGACTGCAGCTCAATGGCAGCCAGTCCCACCATGAGTGGTGGCCAGAGAGACTGAGCTGCAGCCCCACAGCCATTTGTGGGGTCAGCCACGCACGGCCCCCTGGATTTTGGGGTGGCAGCCCAAGCCGGAGGGTGGCTAGGCACCTGGCCTGGCCCCCCACGGCTGTGGGAAAGGGATGTGCCATCACTGCAAACAGGATATCACAGCAGCTGCCAACCACCAGCTTCGGGACGCTCACAGCTCCCCTCTTCCCAGGGGGGCTCGGCGTGAGGGTCAGCCACCTCTGCCCCGCCAGCGGCTGTGGGAACGGCTGGGTGCTGGGTTTTGCAGAGCCTTCCCACCACTCCAGTGCTTTGCGGCAGAGGGATTAGCTGCTATGTGGCTGCGGTGGCAGCAGGAGCTGCGGTGGCCTCGCCGCATGCTGATGAGCAGGGACAGGCTGTCACCGCTGGAGCGTTGCACACAGCTGCTGGGACTGGGGACCAGAGGCACTCATTCCACCAGGCAGGGGTGGTGGCAAGTCTCCTCCATCTGTTCAGCTGGGCAGTCCCCCGCAAGCATCCCTGTAACTTAAGGCCACGGCTTGGAAACTCTCTGGTGCCTCTAGCACTGGGGCTGGGGGATGCTCCCTCCTGACAGCCGAATGCCCCCGGCCCGGACAGACATGCTGCAGGAATGAAATACCCAGCCAGGTTTCTCACCCAGCATTTAAAAGCCACAGATGGATGCAGACGTGAGCCCTTCCTTGTCGCCATCACCCAGCAAAATGCCCGCAGTCCTGCAGGGACATCAGCCACTAGCCCTGGGGCAGGCACTCCTCAGTCCTGCAGGACAGGCAGGACACGCCACCTCCCCCAAATTTTGCAGGCGCTGGGCAGAGCTCAGAGTCACCACCTGGGTCCTACAATGGATTTATTAGTCTAGTAAAAACACCGCTGCAAAGGGATGCGTTAGCTACACCTGACATAGGGAGGAACCACAGGCTCTGCCAAGCCTGGCCAAGCCTGCGCAGGGACCCTGGCCAGTGTCCCTCCCAGCACAGCCCACCCCTTTGTCCCCTTATCACAGCGGCTGTGCCAGTGGGGACCTTGGCTATTGCTCGGCTCTAGGACGGGCAGGGCAGAGCGCTCCGAAACCCACAGCACCTGCAGGCAGGGTTGGGGAAGGCAGCTGCTAGGCCTGGGGACAAGCCAGATCACCAGCATCCCTCCCCATGGATCCACTGTGGTCCCCAGGGAGCAACGGGGCTGGAAGACCCTTCAGTGCTGTTTGGCCGGGCACCCTCATCTCTCCCCACGTCTCCCACCTCCCCAGCAAAAAGCCATCCCAGGCTGCTCTCAACAGGGATGGGGACGCCAACGAGGGCATGTCTGCTGCCCACAGGCAGGTCAAACCCCACCGGCTGGCCTCGGCTGGGAGCAGGCAGGAGGGCAGGCAGGGACACGCACCCAGGGAGAAGGGCCATTTGCCTGGCAGTGTTGGTGGTAATGCTGGAGAGGACTGACAGACAGACTGGGGACAAACAGGCAGACCATGCAGACCCTCTCGTGGCTCATTAAACTGGCTGCTGGGACAGACAGGTGCCAAATGCCCTCCTGAGGCTGGGGGCACACAGCACCCCAGGGCCACCCCCCAAAGACACCCCGCTCTGCCAGCGGGGCCCACTTGGAGACAGGTGCCCGTGCCAGCCCTGCTGCCTCCCCTCTCTGAGCCCCCAATCGGCCCTGCTCAGGTCTGTGACGTGGCCACTGGCCCGGGCCACGAGCGCCAGGGAGGAGTGCACAGGCTGTCCCCGAACACGGGGTGAGCTCGAGGGCAGGGCTCCTGCTGCACTCTCTGGCTGCTGGGACAGGCAGGATTGTCCCCATAGCACGTCCCCGGCCACTGTCTCTCCATCCCCACGGTCACTGTGGGCATCCGCAGGGACTTCACACACCAAAACCACGCAGGCGAAGGGCTGTGCCTCGCATCACGGCTCCTGCAAGCAGCTCGGCATCTCCTCTGCTCTCATGCTGCCCCATCCAGCGCCCCAGTCCCAGCACAGGCATCCAGGCTGGCGCAACTCCTTCGGCACAGCGGCACAGCCAGGTACCCAAGTCCCCAAGCAGCTCAGGGCTGCAGCAGGTACTTCTCTTCGTTCCTTGCCTCGTCTGCATCAGAAGCCGGGCTCTTGTTGGGACACGAGGGGGTCCTGCAGGCCTTGCAGAGGATGAGGAAGAGGATGAGGATGAGCAATGCGATGACACAGTTAAAAGAAATTGCCACGACTGCTCCGGTGGAGAGAGCAGCCCCCATCGCCACTGTCCCGCGGGAAAAAGAGGGGCCCGCAGCTCGGCCCCACGCTTGGGATGCCAGCGCAGCGATCTCGAGCGTGCAGCCGCCACCCACCGGCATTGGCAGGGGACAAAGGGGACGGTGGCGGTGCGGGCGGTGGGATGGGGCTGGGGCCAGGCGGGCAGCAGGACGGCGTCTCCCCGCCACAGTTTGGCTGCTCGCAGCTGTGTCCTGGGCTTCACCACGCCGCTGGGAAGGATCGATTGGAGCTTTTCCTCGGCTTCCCCTCCTCTGGCAGGGCAATGGGGACACGGGGACCCCTCTCCTCCCTGCTGCAACTGGAAGGGAGAAAGTCACCGTCACCGCTGGCACAAGGGGACAGGCTGCCCGAGCCCCTCAGTGCGGTCTGTGGGGGTACCAGTGGGCAATGACCCCAGGACCCAAGGGGCTCCGCTGGGGTTTGGAGGCTGCAGCAGCTCCCAGGTCAGCTGCTGTTTGGGGGGACCTTTCCAGCGCCCCACACCCCGGCTGTCCCCGCCCCGTCCCCTGCGAGGGCCACCAAGCTGGAGGTGTCCCCGGTGAGAGACCCATCGCCTCATCCCAGTCCGGGTGATTCTGGGCGGCCTTGGCCCAGCTCTTGTCCCCTCTCCACCTGGAC